GATTTCGAGGAGGGTTGCAGGATGGGCTTGGCCAGGGGCGGTATGTGGTCGGGAACGCTTGGGTGTCGTGTCGCGCCGCCGGTTCTGGCCCACCGCGCGTCGGCGCGACGAGCTGTTCACTTCCTGGCCGCCCCGTGTCAACGTCCCGAGCTTTCCCGATCCTCCCGCCCCGCGGTGCGGAGCGTATCTCCTCCTCGAACCTCCTTGCCGCGCCTCCTCGAACCTCCCGTCGTGCTTCCTCGAAGCTCCGTTACTCGAGCGGTAGCCCACCTGCCCCTTGTAAACTTTTCCTGCTGTGGTGGTCTTCCCTTGCCGACGCCGTTTGTGCTCTGAGGCTACTCGCGCCTCATGCACGCCTTCTGTGTGCGCTGATTCAAAAAACATCAACGTTATTCATCGTTTCCTCTCTACATCCTCAGTTCTAGTTGGTAGCAGAGCTGGTTCGCCCTTGCTCCCACCACGGCCGCCATGTCTCGCCCCGCGTCGACCGCAATGGGTTCCACCCTCCGCCGCTTTCGACCTCCGTCAATCGCTTTCAACATCTACGCCTTCGTGTACTTCCTCCCGTTCGCTCTTGCAGGAGACGTTACTTTAAGGTCCGTCAGCGCTGTATCAGTCCTTCCGTAAAGACCCGCGGCCGGGATCGTCGCGCCGTCTTTAGCACCGTGGTGTTCGTGCACCTCTTCCCGTTCAATAGGGCAGGATACATTTCTCGAGATTCCGTCGGGGCACCTGCCCATCAACCAGGACCAGTGACCGAGAACGTGCACAACCAGCATATCATCAAGGACAACATCGCCAGAGTCTACACGGACCGCTCTGCGAACCATCCCCGGCATGTTCGAACTGTTTCCAGGCATCTCGTGGACCCGAAACTGTCCGTGCCCCCGCCCGTAAGGGTAGCCTCAGATGTTAGACCGTTGTTCGGCACAACGGTCACGTCTGCGGTGTCAGAACAAGGTCCCGAGCTTCTGGATGCCATGTCTCGACAGCCATAGAAAGGGCAATCCGAGGGGAGGCATGCGGCGACTGAGTCGCTGGTGCCGGGCGGGGATGCCTTTGGGGACATGGAGTTGTGTTCTCATCCCTCCGAAGTAATGCAGTGGAGGGCATGACGACTGTGTCGCCATCGCTCCGAGGGGCCACGCTTCGGGGCCCCGCCTTCCACTGTGCCCACTTAGACCCGCGAGCCGGGCAGGATGGGATCCCGACGCGCACTCCTTTCGATGGCCGTGCAATTGGCGGTGCCCAGTACAGTGACCACACGACGTACGAAGAGCATTCCCGTGACAGTGTCGCGCGAGGCTCCGAGCACCGCGAGCATGCAGTGACGCGACGGAAGCGTCCGCCCAATACGCTGGCGAGGAGGAACGCATTTGGGGCAAGTGTCCGACGCGGCTTGAGGATCCCCGGCCTCCAGGACCTCCGCGACATGTGGAGGGAGCTGCGCTTCAGATGGAAGGCCATCGGAGTCGGCATGTGTACCATCGCAAGTTGCATCGCCGGCGTGGGCGCGTGGTGGCAGCGGCCACGTGCGCCGCCTCCGCAGTTGGGCCCGAGGACAGGGCTTGCGCGCCTTCCCAAAAATGGGTGCGCGAGGTGATGATCTGGTCAGTGGCGCACTCAGACCTCAAAAAGTTCCGCCGGGCGGCCTGCCCCTCGTCCCGGCGTGGCGCGCGAGTGCACGTGGATGAATGGCCGCCGGCTCTCCTGATCCAGGGAGGTCTCATCAACGGCAACCCAGTGGCGCCGACGACCTACGCGCGGCTTGGCCGAAGGATGGGGCCAGCTGGGCGAGGGGAAGCGCGCCTCGGCAGTATCGGTTCTGATGAACTTCAAACGACTGCCGCAGGATCGCATCGACAACTTCCAGGTGTTTCGACATCCCTCGCAACCGGGTGCAGCAAATTGGCCAAATCATGATCGGCTACGAGGGGCCCAGCTCCCTCCTGCTGCGCGCTTTCGGCGGGTCGAACACTCAACTCGCAGTGCTCGTGCAGCGCTGCGACGCGGCCGACCCCGCGAACGCTCGACGTCTCGTCGTGTGACGGGCCAGCTGGGACGCTTTGGGCGTGTGATAGAGGGGTCTCCAGGTAACCTCGCCTCGGCGGTCCACTCTGCCCGACGGCGCGCGTTCCGCGCGGGTGCGCCCGCGCGGGGGCAGAGCTGGGGCGGTATGGGTCCTGCTGCACTTGGATCGGCGCCAGGCCTTCCCTCGCCGGGTGGGGCCGTGTCTGGGGGCTGTGCCTCTTGCGCGTCCCTGCCGGATCGGGGGGCGCGCCCGGCGGCGGAGGTCGACTCGGGCACGGGCGCCGACGCTGCTTGCTCACTCGGCGAGGAGATGGCCGCCGACAATCCCGAGCTACGCGACATTCCCGTGGGGCGCGCAAAAGTGCGCTGGCGCAGTCTCAGCGGCCGCGCGCCCGCGCGCCCCGCCCGGGGGGCCATCGGACGGAAGGGCAAGGGCAAGGGTGGAAGCTACCGCGCTCTCCGCCGCCCTGTCCGTGAACGACCTCTGGGAGACCGTCGCGGGCTTCGGGGCAGGCAGAGGTCAGGAGGGGGTGCGGAAGTTCAGGGCCGCGGGCGCGGGTTCGGGCCGCCGCGGCAACCCCGTGGGCCCGGGGGGGGCGCGCTTCAAATGCCGCGAGTTCGACTCCGAGATGCACGTCGTGCGCGATTGCCCCCTGCGCCACTGACGCGGGCCCGTTCTCCTCGTCAACGCTTGCGCCCCAGCGCCGCCATCGGCGTTGTCGTCCTCGCCGCTTGCTCTTCTGGGGCAGCAGGGGCCGTCGGGGCCGAACGGGCAGCGGCCCGTGCCGGGGGCGTGCGTGGTCTGGTAGACTAGTAGGGGGACCTCCGGGACTCCTCGGTCCGTGGCTGGGGGCGCCAGGAACGGCGATCCATTGCAGAGCGTTGACCCCTGGATCGGCGGGCCGCCGACGCCTGCAGCGCTGGCGCTGCGGCCGTCGGCGCCAGTGGCCACTCCGAGTTCCTCGTCGGACGGCTTGCGGCGGCGGATTGGTCGCAACCATTGGCAAATTTGGGTGGGGGCGTCGTCGTCGTCCTCGCCCTCGCCGCGCGAAGCCGAATTGCGGCGACTACGACAGGAGATGGCCGACCTCGCGGGCCGCGCGCAAGTCTTGCAGCGCCGGCGTTTCTGGCGACTGCGTCGCCAGGCCGTCCGGCAGCGGCGGGGGGGGCGCCGCCAGCCGCGCCGGCATCAGGTGCGCCGGCGAGGCCAGCGTGCCCAGCAGCCTCAGCGGCACTACCACCGCCAACAACACCGCAGTGGTGGGCGCACGTGGGCGGCGCGTTCCCACTGACAACCCCGCGGGCGAGACTGGATAGGCGACCTCAGCGCGCGTGTCGCTGCGCCCCCAACCCAGTCAGACGACGTGCAGTTGCCGAGCTGGGCTTGCGCGCCGTCAGTCTGGGCCCTCGGCGCCAGCGCGCCGCGTGGATCGAACTCCGCGTGGCCGCCGCGGTCCGCGCCGGCAGCTGCGTCGCCGCCTGTGCCGGAGTCTCTCCAGGATTTGGCTCTGTTTAATCAGACCGGCCCCGTCGGCGTGAGCCAACCGTCCGGGAGAGAGGCCGCGTGGTTCAATGGCCGCGATGTCAGGATGTGCGGCGGCGGCCGATCCGATCGCGACGCGCGCGCCGCCCTCGGCCGCGCGCGACGACGGCGCCTCGACGAGCTCCACGGCGCGCAGCTGGCGCTCGAGCTCGTGCGGCAGCAGGACGAGCAACGACGCCGGGCCGCGCAGAGTTGGACGGAGACACATGTTAATCCTCCTCCAGTGCCGGCCGCTGCGCCGACTGCTCTGCCCCCCTTAGTGGCGTCGTTCAGTGGCGACCATAGGTGGCGCCCCATCTGCGTCGAGGCCTCTTAGCGCGGCGAGTGGGTGGTGCGCCTGTTGCGCCGCCGCGTCAGGCATCAAGCGTGCCGCCTGCAATTTTTGCAGGCCGCAGACGCCCGTTTGGCGCGCTGTCCGGCGCGCCGCGGACAAGCCGACGTCATCGCCGAGTTCTGCTTCATTGGTGTAGAGCGCGCGCGGGCGCTTCCTGTGCCCGCGGCGCCGACCCGCGCGGCAGCAGACAGTGCGCCCGCGGTTCCGACAACTGTGTTGGTGGCCCGCGCAGCGTCGGACAGGGGCGTGCCAGTGGAGATCGCGCCGCAGCAGGGCCTTGTGCAGTTTTCCCGGGAGGTCCTTGCCCCCGGGGCGCCTCGGCCAGACATCGCGCGGTCGCCGGGCAGTGCCTCCGGCTTCGCGTCCGCAGTGGGCGCAGCGGTGCCCTTGCGACGCCCAGCTGGTCATGGTCGTGCCGCCCTGCAAGCCGACGTTTTCGTGGTGGCCGATCTCGTCGGGTGCAGGCTCGAGTCCATCGAACGAGTTGCCGTGCTACCTGGCGAGCGCCGACCTGCCGGGTGGCCACGTGGGCGCCCTCGTCGACGCGGGCGCCTGGGCCGACCTCGAAAGATCTGGGGGCCGCGTTTCGCCGTGAATCTGGCGCGCAAGGCCCAGCGAGCCAAACTGCGGCCTTTCCGAGGCGAGGTTGTCGTCTCCATTCCACGTGGCAGGAGTCGGCGACGGGTCGCAGGTAGCGAACAATGAGGTTCACTGCCCCATCGCAACGACTTCCCTTGACGGCGTGGCCAGTCAGCGCAGCGTGCGCGCCCCAGCCGTGGAGGGCGCAGGTGCTGACCTCCCTGCCTTGTTAGGTTTGCAGTTGTGGAGACTGGCGTTGACCGCTAGCGCATCGTGTTTCTTGGGCCAGGCGGCTGCGAGGTCTCGTGCGCGGGGCCCCAGCGCCATCCACTCTGACCTCGTGTCGGCGCCCAGTGGCTGCATGTGCATCCCCGTCGACGACTGCGACGAGCTCGGGCCGCGCTCCGGGGGCCTGCCGCCCAAGCGGCCCGCGCTGCTGACGGTGGGCAGCGACGACTAGGATTCCGACGCCGCCGACAGCCGCGAGTTCCAGAGTTGAAGGTCCAGCTTCTCAGCCCCAATGCGCGGGCGCCCTCGCGGGGCGCGCCCGTGGCCGCAGGTGACGACCTTTACGCTTGCGCGGACGTCGGCGTCGGGGCCCGTGGTGGTGAATTGGTGTCGACGCCGCCGGGCGCCTGCCTGCGCATCGCCCCCCCCCCCCCCCCCCGCGCCCCCCTTAGGACTTGCCCGCCGAGGGGTCGGCGTCGCGGGCGCCGTGGTGGGCGCCGACTTCCGCGACGAGATCAAGGTGATCGTGTCCAGCGCCGGCCCGCGGACGTTCTTGGTCGAGCAGGGCCATCGCATCGCCCAGTTTATCTTGGAGCGCGTCGTCAGCGATGCCGAGATCGTGGTCGTTCCCAACCTCCCTATCGGCTTCTCGCGGGCCTGGGGGCCGTGGAGACGCTGGCGGGGCGCCCCCCGGTCAAGACCCCACCGCGACAAAGCAAGGTAGCGCGTCTGCGGGGTCTTGGTGACAGTTTCACTGAAGGCTCCAAGGGGCCGCCTTGCTAGGATGCGGCCGGGCCGGCCCGCCAGGCTGGCCCCGCTGACCTGCCCCAGCAGGAGTGGGGAGCAGCCCCGGGGCGTCCCGCCTGGGTCCTAGAACGAGGGAGGGGCGGAACGCTAGCGTTCCAAGATCACGGATTCGACGTTGTCGGCTCCGATGACGGCGAGGGTGCTATCAAGACGTTGTCCGACAGGGCATTTTCCGGCGCCGAATGCAGCATGCTGTGGATCACATGCGACGCGAATAGGGGCATGGTTCACTGTATCCTCGATTCCCTCCCTAGCTGGCGCGCCCTGGTCACGGATGCCGGCGCCTGGCTAGTGATGTCTGGCCGGCATGGCCAGCAGTGGCGGTGGCCACCTGTGCGGTGGATGATCGACACCCGCGTGCTCCAGTCTAGGCCCCAGAGGCCAAGCACTGAAGGGCTGCCTTCATAGTGCTCACCGGTGCACCCATCAACAGCCAGCTGTGCTGGTGCGACATCGAGCTAGAGCAGAGCATCGACGACTGAACGACCACCTACCGGCACGTGTATATGGTATACTGATGCGCCGCGAGCTCTTACGACTTGCGACTTACCTATTGGTCTGCAAATCCTGTTGTGCACCCGGAGGCGTATCTAGGCAGGTGCGCTTCCAACGAAGCAGGGCGGCGCCTTCCTCGCCGGACTCGAACGCCTCTTCCTGGCCAACCGGCAGCCGCAAGCACCGCGAGCACGACGCTTAGGGTTAGTTACATCGTGATTTCTTGCACTACTTAGTTACAGTTTAAGTTAGCGAACGATCGCAGGAGGCGCCCTTCGACTGCGTCGCTGGCGCCCGCCCCGCTGTTGAGCGCATGCGCTAGAAAGCGAAGATCCAAGAGGGCCCTTTGCCCGAATCACGTCAGCAGGTCGTAGAGGACCACTGCGACGACTGCGGCGCCGACACTTGAGGTCTGGCCACAAATCTTCTGGGCCCCCCAGCCACCGGGTTCTACCGACGAGTGCGACGACGACGACGTCCTGGGCAGCCTCATCTCAGGCCTGCCCACCTGGTGGTTCCAGGGCTCGTCGGCCCTGGCATCGGGTCGCCACCTGGGGAGTGATCGAACGACCCGGCCAGCCAAGTTCGACGACGTCCACCAATTCCTCACCTACCTCGCCCTACTCGACTACGGCGCCGACATCGTGGAGGTATGCGGTGGGGGGGCGCTGAGCAGCAGACTGGCTTTCCGCCGCCGCCTCAGAGCTGGCGCGCGAACGTCGATTTGGTCTGGTCTGTGACGTCAACGACGAGGGCCAGCAGAAAGCCGTGGAGCGATACATCCAACAAGCTCCCCCCCCAGTGGTCATCATGGCTCCCGCCTGCCGGCCCTTCGGTCTTTTGGCTACGTTCAACTGCAAGCGCAACCGCGGCACCTGGCCGCGCTCCTGCGAGGACGTGGCCCCGCGCGGCCGATTCTGCGGCTCCTGAGCACAGCCGCAGGTCGAGCTGCGCGGCTATATGCCGAGCTGCCGTGACCAGAGGTGCTGGCAGTGCTCGTGGCCCCATAGGGAGCTCCACCGGAGGCTCCTGTAGCACAGGCCGCATGCGTCAACGCCACCCAGGACAGCGTTTCGTGGCCCCATAGGGAGCTCCACCAAAGGCTCCAGTGGCGCAGGCCGCATGCGTCAACGCCGCCCAGGACAACGTTTCCCATAGAACGCTCGACCGAAGGCTCCAGTGGCAAAGGCCGCATGCGTCAACGCCACCCAGGACAGCGATTCGTGGCCCCATAGGGAGCTCCACCGATGGCTCCACTGGCACAGGCCGCATGCGTCACAGCCACCCAGGACAGCGTGTCGTGGCCCCATAGAGCGCTCCACCGAAGGCTCCAGTGTCACAGGCCGCATGCGTCAACGCCACCCAGGACAGCACACCCCTCGCATGTTTCGTGGTCCCATAGGGAGCTTTACCGAAGGCTTTAGTGGTAGGGTCCGCATTCGCACCGCTACCCAGGACAGCGTTTCGTGGCTCCATAGGGAGCTCCACGGAAGGCCCCAGTGGCACCGTTCTCGTGCGTCTCCCCCACCCAAGACAGCGTCTCGTGGCCCCACAGGGAGCCCCACCGAAGGCTCCAATGGCACAAGCCGCATGCGTCGCCGCCACCCAGGAAAGCGCTTCGTGGCCCCATACGGCCCTCCACCGAACGCTCCAGAGGCACAGGCAGCACGCGTCAACGCCACCCAGGACAGCGTTTCGTGGTCCCATGGGGAGCTCCATCGAAGGCTCCTGTAGCACAGGCCGCATGCGTCAACGCCACCCAGGACAGCGTTTCGTGGCCTCATAGGAGCTCCACCGAAAACTCCATTGGCAAAGGCCGCATGCGTCAACGCCACCACGACAGCACGCCCCACGCACGTTTCGTGGTCCCATAGGGAGCTCCACCCAAGGCTCCAATGGCACAGGCCGCATGCGTCAACGCCACCCAGGACAGCGTGTCGTGGCCCCATAGGGAGCCCCACCGAAGGCTCCAGTGGCACAGACCGCGTGCGCCAACGCCATCCAAGACAGCGTGTCGTGGCCCCGTAGCGCGCTCCATGGAAACTCCAGTGGCACAGGCCGCATGCGCTAACGTCACCCAGGACAGCGTTTCGTGGCCCCATAGGGAGCTCCACCGAAGTCGTCAGTAGCGCAGTTCGCATGCGTCAGCGTCACCCAGGACAGCGTTTCCTGGCCCCATAGGGAGTTCCACCGAAGGCTCCAGTGGCACAGGCCGCATGCGTTTCCCCCACCCAGGACAGCGTGTCGTGGCCTTATAGGGAGCTCCACCGAAGGCCCCAGCGGCGGTGTCCACATGCGTCCGCGCCACCGATTTCGGCGCACCCCTCACACGTTTCGTTGCCCCATAAGGGGGCTTCACCGAAACCGGTACCCACAATGCGGTATTTGCAACTGCATATGGTTGGGTCCTTCGTCAGGCTATTTTTTGGGCCAGGGTGCTTGTGGAGACGTGGCAGGTCGGATTCAGGCGAATTGTCCGGGCCTGAGCGTCGCTCTCCTGGGCTCCTTGTATATCCGTTGCAGCTCGGACTCCTCTCTATGTACAAAGCCATGATTATTGCGATGCAGAAGGCGTCGCGTTTCGGCGCCCTAGCGGGGGAGGCACCTGGGGATGATACAATTTGTCTTTAATTGGAATTGTGCAAGGGGGGGGGCAGTGACTCGGGCTAGCGGTTGGTGGAGTGGTCGGGGGGGTTATATTATCCAGGAGCAGTGATGCACCCATCTTCGAAGGAGAAGAAGGGGGTTGGACAAGGGATCACACGTGACCGCGTCCGACCAGAGCGGGTGGGACATTGAATTTCAATACCTTCTGCGAGAGGTTGTCCAGATCGGTTTCGGCGAAGCATTTTCGCAATAATGGGCCCCGATACGCCGCTTGTGAGGTGGTCCGGCCGGAAACGACATGCTGCGTGAGAGATGCTCCAGCCTGTTTGCTTCGGACATCCTCGCCACTGTCCTGAGGCGGTCTTGTTCGATTCGAGACTTTGTATAGGGCCGCTTCGAGGCCAGCTTTCGTGCACTCCATGTGCCCCCTGGTCAGTTACCTGCCCCTGCTCGTCCAGCCGACGCATCCTCAACCTTTCTCCTGCTCCCGTAGCCTCTCTGCTTCAATATTAAGCCCATCATCGAGTTTGGCGGCGTTTTTCAATAGGCGCAGCACAATCCATTCGCAACAATGCAGGTGATCGGTCAGCTTCTGCTGCTCCTCGGCGCTGCGCAGGCCGCGAGCGCTGCTGCGCCCATCGGCAAGGTTCTTGAGCTGATGTCGAAGATGGAAGCGACCATCGTCCATGAGGCCGAAGAGGCCGCTAAGCTCAAGGCGGAAAAGGACACCTGGTGCAAGGATACAGCCGTGAATCTTGGCTTCGAAATCAAGACAGGGACAAGCGATGTTGCCGACCTGGAGGCCAAGATCGCGAAGGAGACCGCTGCCATCAGCTCCCTCACGGAGAAGGTCGAGGAGCTCGCGGGCCAGATCGCGAGGGGAGACAAGGACCTCCGCGCGGCCACCAAGATCCGCACCGAGGAGGTCGGCGACTTCGAATCCGAGGATCGGCGGCGAGCGAGGGGGGAACGTGAGAAGGAGACGGCCTTCTCAGAAGGCGGCAGGACTTCTCAGAAGCCACTGGGTCTTCTGAGAAGTGTTCTGCGTCTCCGGGGAAGGCTTAGAAAACTTCGCAGAAGGTTGGGGGACTTCCAAGCCTTCTGAGAAGGCCCGCCCCTTTTCACTTCCCCCCCTCGCTCGCCGCCGAGAGGAGAAGGAACTCGTGGAAACGATCGGCACGCTGCAGCGTGCCATCGCCGTGCTGGAGAGGGAGCTGGCCAAGTCGGGCGGTGCAGCCCTGGTGCAGGTTCAGGGCGCCAGCTCCGTGGTTCAGGCGCTCGAGGTGATGGTCAATGCGGCCATGTGCAGCCAGGCGGATGCCTCGAGGCTCACCGCCTTCGTGCAGAGCATGCAGCAGTCTGGCGAAGACGGCGCTGGCGCCCCCGACGCAGCCGTCTACGAGAGCAAGTCCGGCAGCATCGTAGACGTGCTGGGCGACCTGCGGGACAAGGCAGAGTCCTCGCTATCGGATGCTCGCGCCAAGGAGAGCAAGGCCCAGCACGCGTTCGAGCTCCTCAAGCAGGAGCCTTGGCAGAAACATTGGTCGTCACGGGCCCTGCCTGGGGGGCCAGTGACGTCGCGTTTTGCCCGAGCGCCTCTGCTCAGGTATCGTGTTCTGTGTCGCTGGAGGCATCGCCTCCAGTAAGGGTTCGCGGTCGGTGATGCTAGCGTATCGTTTGTTTACAGTATGCCAAACTTGCATTGAGTGTGGCTGGCGCGTGGGCTCCAGTATGACGGAAAGAGCGTTCACGCGGTTCCGTTTTTGGTAGGGCGTCGGCCCAAGGGGGGGGGTCCAGGGGGGGAGGGACGGGCGGGCGAAAAGTCTAAACGCCCTCCGGTCTCGATATTTATCGAGTGGGATGGCTCTCTGGGCGGCTCGATGCCCACGACGGCCCAAGAGGCCCAAGATATCGCCTCAAGGCTCCCGTGAAGGCCCCAAGACGGCCCAAGTGGGCCCAAATAGGCTCCCAAGAGGGACCCAAGACGGCCCAAGAGGGTCTAGAGGCTCCCGAGAGAGCCCCAAGAGGGCCTCAAGAGGCTCCCAAGAGGGCCCGAAGAGACCCCCAAGAGAGCCCCAAGACGGCCAAATCCTTCAAGGCGCCCCGAAAGTGCCCCAAGTCGGCCCAAGCGGGCCTCAAGACGGCCCCAAATGACCCCAAAACGACCCCCAAGAAGGCTCGGATACGCCACATAACAGAGGCTTCCAACAGCCCACAGTGACGTCATAAGATCACAACACCATGGCGCCTGATTAAAAACGACTGGCGTAAAAAAGTTCTTAGGAGGAGGAGCACCACGAACAGGTGGAGGAGGAGGAGGATGAGGATGAGGATGAGGATGAGGAGGAGGAGGAGGAGGAGGAGGAGGAGGAGGAGGAGGAGGAGGAGAAGGAGGAGGAGGAGGAGGAGGAGGAGGAACAGCAGGAGGAGCAGCATGAGGAGGAGGGAAGAGGAGGATGAAGAGGACGAGGATGGATGCGGAGGAAGAGGAGGAGGAGGAGGAGGAGGAGGAGGAGAGGAGGAGGATGAGGAGGAGGAGGAAGCAGAAAAGGAGCAGAGGAGGAGGATGAGGAGGAAGGGGATGAGCAAGAAAGAGCAGAAGGAGCGCTGATTTTCGATTGGTTGGTGAACAAGGAGGAGCAGGAGCAGGAGGAGCAGGAGTAACAAGGTTCCGAAGAGTGAGTGTCGGCAGACTCTTAATACCAAGACTCGAGAGGCGAATGATGCCATGAGCATGTTCGAGCAAATTGCTGAGTGCGCTCTTACCGTTCCCGTGCCGACCCAGGTGACGGAAAGAGCGAGGTACGAGCGAGTGACGTTGAGCAGGCGGCGAAGCCCTTCTAGGGAGGGGTCCAGGGGTGGGGCGAGGACCGGACGTTTTGGTCTAATCGCCCGTTTCCTTCGTATTTTTTCGAGTGAAGCGGCTCCCGGGCGGCTCCCATGGCCCGCTTCTTCCCCAGACGGGCCCAAGACGGCCCAGAGGCTCCAAATATCGTCCCAAGACGGCCCCGGAGGCGCCCCAAACGGGCCCGAAACGGTCCAAGAGGGCCCCCAGACGGGCCCAAGACAGCCTAAGAGGCCCCAAAGATCATCCCAAGACGGCCCCAGAGGCGCCCCAAAGGGGCCCAAAACGGCCCAAGATGGCCCCCAGACGGCACCAATACAGCCAAGAAGGCCCCGAGGGCCCTCAGAGAGCCCAAGAGGGCCCCAATAGGCTCCCCAGCGCGCCCGAATAGGAGGAGGGGGAGGAGGAGGAGGAGGAGGAGGAGGAGGAGGAGGAGGAGGAGGAGGAGGAGGAGGAGGAGGAGGAGGCGGAGGAGGGGAGGAGGAGGAGGGAGGAGGAGGAGAGGAGGAGGAGGAGGAGGAGAGGAGAGGAGGAGGAGGAGGGAGGAGGAGGAGGAGGAGAGGAGGAGGAGGAGGGAGGAGGAGGCGGAGGAGGAGGAGGAGGAAGAGGAGGAGGAGGAGGAGGAGGGGAAGGAGGAGGAGGATGAGGAGGAGGAGGAGGAGGAGGAGGAGGGAGGAGGAGGAGGAGGAGGAGGCCGGAGGAGGCGGAGGAGGCGGAGGAGGCGGAGGAGGAGGCGGAGGCGGAGGCGGAGGTGGAGGCGGAGTTGGAGGAGGAGCAGGAGGAGGTGGAGGTGGAGGAGGAGGAGGAGGATGAGGCGGAAGAATGGAGGAAGGAGGAGGAAGAATAGGAGGAGGAGGATGGGGAGGAGGTTGAGGAGGAGGAGGAGGAGGCGGAGGAGGAGGAGGAGGAGGAGGAGGAGGAGGAGGACGATGATGATGGTGATGATGATGATGATGATGATGATGATGATGATGATGATCATGATGATGATGATGATGATGATGATGATGATGATGATGATGATGATGATG